AGTTCTTAAGGACTTCCATAGATATTCCCTCACTCAATCCTACAGTAACAGCATTACTGAAGTTAGCAGCTACATAAGGATATGAGACCTTAGACTAACCCATTCACACCATGAAAGTGAGCCTTCAACTATACTCCCTGCCACTCTACAATATCTTTATTCATGTTTTATGTCTTAATTCTATCAATAGCACAGTATAGACATCCTCAGCATTCAGATTCATAATTTTAATCAAGCTATTAACCCATAATTAGTATGTGTGTTCCGAATTCATTTTTGTTAAAATGGTAATGGAATGATTTTACGATAGAGCTTAACTCATATTTTATTACTTCATATATAGTCAGTAATTACTAATTACGACTAATTATAAGGACATTTCTTGAGCATGAATGTTTTCAGAAAGCATTACCTTCTGAATGATACACAAATCACATTCTTTCAATTAACATTCAAATAACACCTCACTGATGAGGCTTTTAAAACTGTGGAAGTGTAAGTGATTCTGGAAGAGATGCAAGCTCACCACTTCACCAATACAACCAGTTTCTTTAAAAAATCTGTAAGGGGCTAGACAGATAGCTCTGAGGTTAAGAGTACTGGCTGCTCTTCCAGAGGACCTAGATTTAATTCTTGGCACCTGTATGGCAGCTCACAACCATCTGCAACTCCAGTGAATCCAGCACCAGTTTCTGGTCTCTGTGAGCCCTGTGCATGCATTGCCCAAACATACATGCAGGCAGAAACTCATATGCATAAAATAGAATAATAAGAATATATGTTAAAAAATTACCTAATACTTACAAATAAACAAAATGAAACTTACTGTGTTCTCAAAGCAATGGATAATTAATTAATTTTTTTTTAAAAAAAGAAAGGACTATGCCACCAATGGATTCAAAGTCTTATCTACTCCTATTGTTAACAAACCTTCTGCCCTTACTGAATTCCCAGATGGCTGAAGCCCCTCCATAGCTGCTACCACTTCCTCTTGTCCAGATGTGCTGGCTCTGACATAGATAGTATAAATGACATTTCCCTGTCTACAAAGACAATGTTCCCTCCAAGAGCCAAAGACAATCTAACAAACACCCCAACAACAGGTATGAGAAACCCCAATTTGAAATAGGTTCAGGGTCATTTAAGAGACTCCCAAGACATCATAAGCTGTTGCTATTGTCCTCGGTTTCCTCCAGTAGTAAACAAGTCAATCCCTATTGCTGAAGACACCATGCACTTCAGACACAGGGTCCAGAGGACCCAAGCTGGATCTGACCTGAAAGCATCTTCACTGAGGATTAACTTTCATGGCATCAGAGGTATCATGCAAGCTTCCAAAGGAGGGAAGCAAGCAACAGTCCTACTCAGCTATGAAACCTATGAACTGCAATGATCAGCATGGCACAATAACTCCCAGAATGTACTAGTGGCACACAACCTTGTTGGTAAATAGCAGCTCCCTAATTGGACTTAAGACCCATTCAACAAGAGGGAAGGCATGCCTGATACTGAAAACCTAGCCAATGATGCAGGGCTAGTAAAGTCATGACCTTGGAGGAGAACCTACAACTCCTACTTTATTAAATCAGCATTGTTCCCAACTATATTCTAAACAGTTGTCCTTATACCTGTTGGTAAGTGTTATCCCAATCCCTCATCAAGGAAACTTCTCTTTGCAAAAGATGAAAACAATTACAGGAAAAACACAACCACTCAAAATGCAGAGTTTTGAAACCCTGCCCCAAATGATAAATCTATAACGCAATTCCTTCACGTAAAGCTCAGGAATCATTGCTGAAGAAGGGTAGAAAAAGTATAAGAGCCGAAGGGACAGAGTGATTTGAGAGATGTGTCTCCTAAGAATGTCAGAAACTGCAAAGTCTCAGCAACACAAACTTCTAAACCTGTCTGCAGAAGGAGGACACCTATAGACATGCTAAAGTGGGTGGGGAAAACTCATGAGGCTACAGGTTTACATACAGAACTACAGGCAACTCAGGAATGCTGAGAGTAGGAAAAATAGTCTCCCCCAGGGAAGAGCACACCAATTAGCTATTTCATATTAAATGGTTAGCCATTTAATGGAAATAACTTATCCAGACTGAGCAGGATATACATATATATATATATATATATATATATATATATATATATGTACATATATACATACATATATAAACATATATATACATACATATATATATGTATATATTTAGTAATATATACATATGCAGATGTGTAACAACAATTTGTGAAAAAAATGCAGCCATGAATTTGAAAGACAGCAAGGAGGGGTAGATTGGAGGGTTTGGAGGGAAGGAGAAAGGGAAGAAATTATGTGATATGTTATAATCTCAAAAATAAAAAATAATGAAAAATAGAATTATAGTTTACCTCTGATTTTTCTGTTTAAAAGAGATGACTCCACATTAAGCTGATATCACCAGGTTCTAGGAATTCAACTGCTCTGTCTAGTATTTGCTACCTCATGCACCCATAGCATAAAGTATGGTCGATTTCTTCCCACATGTTTGGGGAGAAGTTAAATTCAGAGGGACCACACAATTTGTCCCAGATCTGTAGGTACTAAGTGAACAGTAGAAGACCTATTTGGATTGGGGGCTAGGATTCTGTAACCCTAACAGTTATAGTAGTTTTCCCTCTCTGAAGTTTTTCTCTACCCCTCTATGCCCCACCCTCAGCAATAAGCAAATACACATCACAGAGTATTGCTTTCCTTTAGCTTCTCTTGCAACATACCAACAGTGGCACTTGTGCATCAGAACAGTAGAGAACTCTTAAACTCATTTATGAAGTGCCGACTGTTTATCAAGCAATGGGTTAGATGTCAGGAATACATTATACATAAAACATTTTAGTTTCTACAATGATTTCACAAGGATAAGTGTTTTATTTTTTGCTCCTACATTTTGGGGAAGAAATTAAGTCAAAGGGACTACATGATTTGTTCCATATCTATAAATAATAAAAGAGCAGTAGAACCCAAATTGTCATCAGAGAGCCATTACCCAGTAACTGGTAGAAAGCAGATGCAGAGATCCATAGCCAAGCACTGGGCTGTGCTCCTAGAGTCCTGAAGAAAGGGAGGAAAGATTATATGACCCTGGGAAAATGGGGATCAAGGTCATGATGGAGGAACCCATAGAGACAGCTAATCTGAGCTCATAGGAGCATATGGACTCTGGACTAACAATTAAGGAGCCTGTATGGGACTGACCTAGGACTTTTTTTTTTTTTTTTTTTTTTTTTTTACATGTGTGCAACAGTTGGGTAGCTCATTCTCTTTGTAAGGCTTCTAGCAGTGAAGTCAGGACCTGCCCCCTGGTGCTTGGCTGGCTTTTTGGAACCTGTTCCCCATGCTGGATTACCTTGTCCAGCCTTCATGCAGGGGAGTAGTTCAGTCCTGCCTCAACTTGATGTACTATGCTTTGTTCATGCCTGCTACTTTATGAATGGAGATAGAGGATGAGTGGATTGGGAGCAGGGGTAGATGAGAGTCAGGGGAGGGAATGAGAGGAGAGAAGAGGAAACTGTGGTCAGTATGTAGAATAAATGAGAAAATGTTAAATAAAATAAATTTAAGAAAGAGCAGTAGAAGATAGAGTTGGATTTGGGGATTTTATTGCCCACCTTTAAGGGGGCTAAGGCTGGCCCCAGCAACGTCACCTTTACAAAGTGTACCACAGTTATAAACATTAACTTCATGATCCTCCTTGCTGTCCTAACTACTACTAAAAAAAATGTTAAGTGATTAGCCTCTCAGTAGAAATGTGGCCTAATTAATATAGACATTATATACTTTTATGTATATACATTAGTCACAATAAAAGTTTATCAAAATGAAATAAATATAAGCAATGACTTTTAAGTTTCAAATAAAAACTAAAAATACCAAATAAAAACAGTAGCAGCAACAAGCTTCCTCTTCCTTTTTCATCTACGGAGTAGAAAAGAAAGATTAAAGCTTCCACTCCAGTTTCCCGGCAACCTCTAGGTCTGCAGAGACTGACTCCTCTGGAGACAGCTAGGCAGCAGAATTTCATTCCAATTGTGTATGTGGTTTAGCAAGTCTTGAGAAAGGCAGACTCTCACTGTCTTCATGTGACTTCTCATAAAGCTTTCTCACAGCTTATCCCAAGCCACATGGCTTATGGGGCTGCTTGCACAACAGTGCAGGACCTTCTGTCTCCAGCACACTGGAGCCATCCCCTTGAGCAGCTTCAATGCCGCAAATATTGTAGAAGCCAGGGCCCAAGTCTCTTAGTCAACATTCTTATGGAGCTTACACAGTTCATGCTAAAAGAGCATTTGTTGTAATAAGCAGCAACACAAAAATAAGCCAAGTGATACTATACAGCCTGTGTGCCTTTTCGTAACAGTTTCCTAGAATATGTACATGAATCTGTTGTTTCAAACACTGTAAAGCAATGAATAAAAATCCTGTCCTAAGCTTTAACACAAATTCATTTTTATAAATATAGTTCACATATTTAGTTTTAAAGTTTACCTTTTATCATCATTCTCATTTATTTTGATTCAAATTATGACCAATGAATAATTTTGCATTTTAATTTTACATAGATTCCATTTTATATGACTAAATCTGTACTTTTAAATGTTGTTTCTTTCAGATGAGTGTAACTTCCTACACCCAAAGAAGAAGCTGTCTCTGCAGTTTATAAACAGCTTGTCAGTCACTCATGGAACTTAAAAACTCCACATATATTTATTACATTATTATATGTGTAGATGATTATACACAGTATGAGAAATATCACCTAAATGCTTTGGAAAAGCCAGTCTTCCGCAAATATCAATTCTTAAGGGGAGGTTTCTTGTCAATCATTAAAATAAATAGTATTCCTTGTCTAATTTCAGTTCTGCTGAATGCCACCTACTTATAAGCTAACTACCATGATTCAAGATAGCTCAATTTTCCCAATGTAGTTTGTTTGAATTGAAGATAACAATTTACCAACCTCCATCCATCCTTCTGCAGATAACTGAAGGCTCCATCAACAACACTTGCAAAAAACTGTCCCCCTGTGATGAAGAGAGTATTGATGGTGACCAGTCGGCCTCTTAGGTTGGGTGGAGAAACCTCTGCGATGTACACGGGCACTGTCATGGAAGCAATGCCTGCAATGAAGAACCAAAGTAACCATGAGACACCTGTACAATCTCTGTCGTCACTACACTTACCCATACTAGGTTAAAACACACACACACACACACACACACACACACACACACACACACCACACACATACCACACATACACAAACACCACATACACACACACACGCCACACACACACACACACACACCACACACATACCACATACACAGACACACACACCACACACACACATACACATAGACACCACACACACATACACACCACACACATGCTACACACATATACACACACCACACACACACACACACACACCATACACACACCACCACATACACACACACCACATACACACACACCACACACACACACACACACACCCCACAAATACCACACATACCACAAACAGACACATATACCACACACACACCACGGACACACACACACCACACACCACATACACACCACACACATTACAGACACACACACAGACACACCACACACATACCATACATACACAAACACCACATACACATACACACACGCCACACACATACACACCACACACATACCACACACACAGACAGACACACAGACCACATACACACACACAAACACCACACACATACCACACACACACCACACACACACCGCATACACACACACCACACACACACACCCCACACATACCATACACACCATAGACACATACACCACACACATACCACAGACACACACAGAGACACACACAGAAAGATACACACAACACATACACAACACACACACACCAACACACACATACCACACACATACACACACACACATACACAGACACACACTCACACACATACACACACACACACACACACACAGATACAGGCCTTCATTCTACTGTAATCTCATGTTCAAAACTTCTGTATGTGATTGATATGGGGCTATTGTATACAAGTAAAGAAGTATGTGAGGTTCCAATCTCTGAATATTGTTTTTATACTATTATTTAAATTGATTTATTTTTAGTTTATTTAGTGAGGTCTTATGTAGCTAGTCATGAACACAGTAGATAAATACAGATGCTCTTGAAGTTCTGATCTTCCTGCTTCTACCTCCCAAATGCTCAGTTCACACTGTCATTTAAAAGCCCACAAATAGAAGTACCCCAACAAGTCTACAATGGCATTAAAGGCATAAATATACTTTATAGTTTTATAGACTAAAGATATAAAAATATACTCTAGAAAGAATGATGTAGTTACTAAATTATTTTAGTCTATATGGAAATGTAATCAAAAGTAAGAATAAAACACTACTAAATAATTTACAACAACTAGCTATTCAAAGTCTTTATTTAGAAGGCACATACAAATCTTCAAGTTGGTTTACTGATAAGACTGTCTTATTAAGCCATGTCATTCAATTGCCCAGTTGTGTATTTCTGAGGTGGCTTATAATGACAGAACTTTTAGGAACCTACAGTTCTGAAAAACAGATGATATTATATTGAAAAGAAAAGTGTTATGGGGCTAGGGAGGTGGTCAGTAAAGTGCTCATACTGCTATTTATAGAACTTCAAGCTTTATGTCTCTACATAATATAAACCAATCCCTACACTGGATAAAGCATCGACACTGCACAACAGACCCAGGTAGAAGAACTGCTTTTACAGGCTGGCTTGTCTTGAAGAACGCACCTGGAAGCCAGACACTTCCAGTCCAGGGGCCTTGTATTTCAAGACCCCTGAATCTATCACATTCCATATCCAGTGACATCTGTTTGCAGTCAGTGACAGCAATACCTGTACTTCTTAACAAACAACTGATTTTCAGTAGTGACAGAGACTGACCCCAGGGGTTCATTCAGCCTGGGCACCACGACCAAGCTATCCATCAATAAATCACCAGGTTTCGTTTGTTGATCATCACCATAGCACAGGAAGCCAAGTGCACCCTCCACCTGTAATCCTCTTCCCCTTTCTTCTCTACAGAGACCCACTTCCACCTGGGGTTTTGAGCTTCTGTAAACTCCCTGCTGATATCACAGCAGTCTGCAGCTTCACCAATTATACCTTTTGTCAGATTTTAATTAGCCTCATCCATCTTCCAGTCAGTAACAAACAAACAAACAAATAATAACAAAAATCCTGAAAAAATTCACTATATTAAGGCAAACATGTAAGCAGTTAAGCTCTCTTGGTGCTCATTGCTCCTGTGGTGCCTGCCAGAATATGGAGGGAAGCCTATGATTTTATAAGTTTCACAACAAAAGCAGAAGGAGTATTAAGCTAAATCACACCATGTTATTACTGCAGCACAGACTACTCTAAAATGCTTTCTGTGGAACTTGGAAGTAAACATTTTCGACACACCTTAACAAGTTCATTATACTTTCTCCTCATTTCTTTGACTACCAGATCATCTCAATAAAATTTCACAAATAAACACTAATTTACTGTTGGGATTTTTTTTTTTCTATACTGGTCTCGATATCAACAATCATGCCATTTCTCCCTTAGCCAGAGATCTGCCTTCAGCCATATAACCTGCTAGACACAAGAAATCAGAACCACACATTTAAACAATACATGCTGGTTTCCATACCACAGATTTTACATGACAAGAAATGTAGCCATGTCCTCATGCCTTTAGAAAGCTTGGTGGGTTAAAATGAATACCAACGTGCTGAAGGTGACAGATGATAGCCAAGAAAAAGGCCACAGAACTAGAAAACCTCTAGAGCCATTGACAAGCAGGGTTAGAAAGAGTCCCCCAATTCTAACCAGTGACTTACAATGCTGCTTTGGTATAGCCTTTAAAACTGCCTAATTCTGTTAGGTCTCTTTCACGCCCTGATTATAGCCCTTATATTCAGCACTTATCTACTGAGAGCATGTAATTACCCTACTTCACAGAGGACATTATCCCAGATAATGTGGTGGTAAGTCAAAGAACTAGCAGATGCCAGAACTCAACTTTAACGGCACACACTAGACTTGCTATCACCACAAACGGCAGTAGACACAGGTTTCAATACCCACTATGCCAGTTACAAGCAGGGTAAGTCAGTACAAGTTATTCAACCTCTCTGGGTCTCCAATCCCTCACCTATGGAAGGAGAAAATTAAAAAGTCCTTCAAAGAGATTGAGAAATCTCAATGGATTAACAGAGTAAAGTATTTAAATACAGAAGGTAGTCAATACCAGCCATTATCAAATTTAAGTACAAGATAAAGACAGGGACAGGTGGACTCAGAAGTGGCCTGCGAGGTATACAGCAGGTGACAAGTATTGCTCTCTGAAAATGCTGGGGGTATAAGTTAGCTACTTATAGTGTTCCAGTATTCATCTTGTCCTGCTCAGTTCAGAGTCTGCCAAAACTGCTAGCCTCTTTACTTTTTCACCCCACATGACAGAATTTGGCCTTGCCAGCTTAGTTTTTATGTTATCGTCATTCTAGACACAAAAAAAGGGGGAAGGTGGAAATATATACTAGGGTGAAATAAACCTGATTCAATAAAAAAAAAAAAAAAAGGAAGGAAGAAAGGAAGAAAAGGAGGGCAAGACAAAGTTTTAAGGAAGACACTTGGGGTGAGTCTGGGAGAAAATGCAAACCTATGACACAGGGACTCAGCTTTAGGGCAGTTGTGGGGGGGCAGATTTTAAGAATTGCTAAGTTACAATCTACATATGTTCTGTTCAAGGCCAAGACTGACTTTCAAGGGCTCAAGATGCCTTTCAGTTGCAGGCTTTCAGTTGCAGGACAACATTTCTTTAAATACAAAAATTTGAACTGAAGACTAGGTTAGAAAAAGCTGGAAGCCACATAAATATCCAGTGCTCCTAAGGTGACTTTTTGAACAATACACCTAATTGTGACTACAGCAGTGGGTCATACTCCGAAAGGATATTTGAGAAGAATGCTGAGAGCCATATCCTGGAAAAAAATCTGTATTTAGGGCACTGGTGGATGGAAAGGGAGAGGTGAACAGTAAATGGGCACCTGCCTTGCCCTTGAATATCACAGACTACTTTTAAAAGTCATCCTATCGACAGATATGTGGATGACGGAAAGCAAAGACATCACGTTGCAGAGATAGACACAAAGTTCTGTTTCATTTTTCAGGAAATAACATGGATACTAATATCCAAGTGGATTCATAGCCTCGTGTCCTCAACTTTTGTTAAATGTTCTTCAAGGACGAGGGGATACACCTCTGCTTAGAACACGATCCTTGCAAAATATCTCAGAAACATTTTATCTTTGAAGAATGTCTTCTCTCTTCCCTCTCCCTGCTCCTTGCCATGCGACTTCCTGTCATCAGGTATCATGTTAAAGCAATTAGATCAATCTCTAAGAAAAAGGGGAACTGAGTACAATGAACTGTGTCATTGTGAGCTAGACAAATTAAAGTCCATGCATGCACCTGCTATATGAAACTGGAGATGGAGGAGCGTGATGTTCCTACATTCACTGTGTTCAAATGCTCATACATCTCACACAAGCCTGCTAATCAACAGCTCACAATTAATGAGAACAACGCATGCAAGCAGCTGATTTATGGATTCCTGAACACAAAGCTCAGCCATGAAAAGCTCCAGACTTTAAGCTATTATTAAGTCATCCTGAAACTCCTTTCCACTCTTCAGAAATCAATAGTATTGGTCCAGAGACAAATTTCACTGTTCTAATGAAGGATTTCTAAGTAAAATTAGCAAATGTGAGGGTCTGTATGAATCACTCTTATGTGTTTGAATAGCTCAGCTATAGATTTAAACAAATTGCAAGAGCATTCAAATAAGCAAGAATTGTATTATCCACAGAACATCTATTGTAAAGACAATGTATCGAAGCTCACATGTCTACCCTGTTATAACTCAAAGATGATGGACTAAGATTTCCAACGTTAAGAGTTAGATGTTTCTTAAATGTATATGAATGAGGCAAAACTTTTAGGATCATTCTATGAAAAATTTTATTTCTCCCCTACTTGAATAATTAACTACAC